GGCGCAATTTGTTCTAAAAATAGAAAAATTGTCCCATATCATAGGTGCGCGCGGATCCCAAGACTTACGGTCTCCGTCCCCGATTATGGCTCCTGTTAGGAGTAAATTACAGTTTCAAAGCTAGAAGTGACATTTTCAACCTCGTTCCCAGGGTCTTTTCCCTAGCTTGGGGGTGGGGCAAGCCAGGGAAAAGACCCTGGGAACGAGGTTGTGACATTTTCATAGCATTTTATTACCATTTAACAGAGAGCATAGACATACGAGCGGAAGCACTGACTATTTAAAAGGCCGGAAGAGTATGAAAAGTCTCCACGTCTGAACGATTTCCTAAGATTTAACCAGTGGCTGCCACGTGCAAGAGAAGACTATAACAGTGTGACAAAACACATTGCAGCCATGACGTAAATTCACCAATTAAAATTGTTTACGGACACCCGCACCGTATTGCCTTGAATCTGACGTCAGAAATCGTGTTGATTTTAATTTGAAATATCCTCAGGACGTTTTGAAATGGCGTATCTAAGTGTTTCAGTGAATGTCAGTAATTAGTACTCTTTGTCTGTTTGTTCTTTTTGTATGGTGTGCGAGCAGCCGGCTTCACCCTCTTTCTCCAAGACAATTAAAAACCGATTACGCTCGGACAAAACTTTGTCAAAACAATTTTACTGCTCTTTTCAGTGCTTTTTATTGTAGTAGAAACAATGTATTTTTACACAATATCAGTAATTCTCTATCCTCCCGGTTATTTTGCACAAGTTTTAGCAACATGATTCCTAATATGTTGTGATGCCCTTGCAAAACTTTGTCAGTCGACCTTCTCACTCAAACTGATCAGTTATGCCGCGCTATCGGTTGACCTACAGTGCAACCAACGGGTGGACCGTAACCTGTCAAGGTATCTTGCAATGAAATGTATAGTCATGGCGGATGTTCCGGGCAAGTGAATTCTCACTCCACATTATACTTTAAGTGTGAAAATATATCCGATAGAAAAGGCAAACTGAAAATATAGCAACATGTATCCATGGTAAGGACATACCACAAAATATTTCATCCGGCAAAATTGAAGGTCGCCGCTTTTCGCTTTCAAGAAACCCTTGTTACGCTTCGAACACCGGTGAACGCCTCGCAAGAAGCGAAATGATACTTTTGCGGCATCGACATCGTGTAAATCACTTCAAATGGTATATATGTACATAGTTTCAAATACCTTTCTTTTCTCCATAAGGTCCTATGAATCTTGTGTTTCCCCCAATGATATTCTCTTCGATGAAATCCAAAATCGGGAACATGTGTTTTACTGTCAAATTAGTTTCTTTGAGTAATTTTCTTTGCTTTCTGTCTTTGCTCGCTAAAGAAAACAATAAACAAGAGAATTCAAACTAAAAGTAATTATCACGGGACGGATGAATAAAAAAAGTATTTTTTTTGATCGTTTTGCTTACCTGTAAATCGATTATGTTTCGTTATGTTGCTCGCGTGTTATATCTCCTGTCAAGTTATGCAAATGACATCATGAAATCAAGCACGAGCTCTAAGGCGCCACGGATTCCTCAAATTACTTACGTTCTTCCGAATCGTCAGTGATTATTTGTACAGTAAACATCTGAGAAATATTTTTAAATTATTGTTCCCTCTTTTTAAACACAAACTTCGATTAGTAACAATTCAATGCAGGGCAACAGTTTTCAAACACTGGAAATATTCGATTGGCCACGCGTTTTAATTTCATTTTAGTTTTTTCAAGGTGGAGTGCGGTCACGCCAGCGAAATAGCGCTGTGTATGAATAACTTGTAGTCAACTGTTACCTGTTTCGCTTTCTGCTAGCTTTTGTAAAAATTATTTTGTAAGCAATTCTTTCCAGCTAGCTTGTGGTTGTTCATAGAATATTAAAATAACTTCGTTGAAACAGCTGTTTAGGTTATTCATGTCTGGATGCACGCGAACAGGAAATGCGTAGTTTTCCTGTATATTCTACCCGTCCAATTTTCACCTGTTTTCTCCCACTCATCGTTCCGGTCGGTGATTAGACGGTATCACGAGAAGACAAGATGACGAAAGGAAAACGAAGGCAAAACCTACAAGCCAACGTGTGGTGTCAGATCAGAAAAAGTCTTGAGATAAACTTTTGCCGTTCTTTTTTTTAGCGTTAATACACCCTTGCGTGAAAATATTTTTATTTGCTGTAAATCAGAGATTTTACCTTCTTTTTTGCTGGAGTTTATTAAAGATCACGGGAAAAAAATTATAGGCAATTTTTGCCGTTTTCCTGTTTACCAGGTCGCCGTTATGTATCAGTCAATTCTAGTAGTGCCCATACCCCCGAGCTAGTCCCCGGGTGTTATTTTCATAAAAATGCAAGTTCCTGCGGACGGAAATGCGCCGGGCTAGCCGGAACAATGCCCGGCCCATGGCCAGTAATAAAATTTAAATGCTCCACCCCAGGATTAAGACCTAAGCGAATGCCGGGCTATTAACCGCAGGGATGGTCACCCTAACTTGGGCTGCTTGCTTCTGTTCAAAAAGACACTGTAGTTCAACTTTTCTGTGGACGTAAGGAGTTCATGCATTTTCTCTATTTTGTTTTACGCACGTTCGTCTTATTTCGAAGTCGGTCGCACTAGCAAAACTACTTCATTATATCAATCACAAAGGGCTATCCTACAAAACAATGGTTACGTTATGTTATTGCAAAAACTCATCGATATGTGTTGAGACGCAGGGTCTATACTGAAGAACCGAAAACCCTCCGAAGTTTTTTTTCTTTTCAAGATGCCGGCCTGGGAATCTTCGAACCCGGAATTTGCATGGCAATAAATCTATCAAAGGCGAGACACCAGCATAAAAACAAAGTCCCATTTTTCCCTTCAAACTTATGAACATTTCAAACGCCTTATTGCTGCGCGACATCTCAACATCGTGAATATCGCCTTTGCTTGCGAGTAGTTGCTAATGTGCTCGTCAGGTGTCTTGTTTATGATAAAAAAAAAAAAAATTCGTCGACCGCGATGTTGAGTGAACATTTCTAAAATGCGATGGTTTGGCCACAGCTTTCGAAAGCAAATGTAAACAATGCAAATGAATATATGAAAGATCATATACTTGAACCTAGCGGAGAAAGAACTAAAGCAACTATTAAAACCCAGTCATATAGTCGATCAACTTAATTTTTTTAGGCTTTAATTTCAGAGCTGCCTAAGTTGTGCATATAACTGCAATGAATCATGTCTTCATATCTTTCTCCGCAGTTCTAGTATATGATGTATGATATATTCGCTTGTATCTTCACCATCAACAAATATATTACGAACTCACAATGTGACTGGCAGCTCCCAGTTGGCGTGAGAGGCGGTCAGTTGGTAGAGCACTTCACCGGTATCGTAGAGGTCATGGGTTCGAATCCCGTCCAAGCCTGAATTTTTTTCAGGCTTTAATTTCACAGCTGCTTAAGAGTGCGTGTTTTGAAATTTGCGCGGCAAATTTCAAAATTTCAAAATCGCTCAAACATTGGCTATTAGTAGTCCATATTGAACTATTTATCGCTATGTGGTTCATTTGTCAAATGGGGTTTTGATTCGGCAGAAAATGACGATACTCGATTTCGGGGCCAGGCATTGGAAAATTTGACTCAAAAATTAGCCATTTTGAAGCTAACGGCTTGCCGTAACTATAAACCGAGAAGACATTCACTCGAATTCAGCTTATTTTACAACTTTTGCAGCTTTTATTTTACAATTCCTATGACATTTGAAACACATTAAGATATTGAGTGAGACCTGAAGGAAAGCCCTCTGTTTTTCCATGGAAATTACTAGTAAACTTCAAAAAATAATTTCCCCTACTACCTTTATCACAAATCAAATGAAATTTATCACGTAGAATTCAAAGACGATGGGCTCTTAGCTGATATAATTTTTTTTCTGGAGAAATTAGATTGTGCTATACGAGAGAGCGCTCAAAATTGCAATTTTTCGTGAAATCAGACAAGAGATTGCGTGACCGACCGTGACAGACCGCTGTATCATTGCAGCTCAAAACCCCAAACTCAATAAAAAATATGTCCTCTTGTTCTTGCGAAGTCTTGTCATTTGTTACTTTTTTAGAAAATACAGCGGCTAATGGCATGCTTGTTTTATCACTAACTTGTATGATGTTTTTTATGTGAACAGTGCATATGCAGTGCGTTTACTGTATTTTTTTCAGGTGAATGATACTGTTTTACC